TGTCTTTAAGGCCGATTTGTGGTCTGCCCGTGGAGTTGTTTATCGGGTGTGTCAAGCGGTGAGTGATGTCGCTTTCTCACCCTCAGGCGCCAGGCTGCGGCGAGGGGTCCGGAGAAGGAGGCGCCTGGATGCGGCTCTGCCGAGCGCGGTGGGGGCAGTGACAGGCCTGGCGTGCCCCGGCGGGTAGCTGGGGGGATTGTGCACCCCACAGCGTACTCGGGGATCGCTGCCGTGAAGCTCATGGGGGTGTTGATGTACCCGGCAGCAGCAATTCCCCGCTGGCCTCCGGTGGGGTCTGTGCTGCGAGCGCACGGGGCGGCTCGGCCTAGTTTGCTTTAAAAACAAATTGTGCAAACTGAGAAAACACATTTAGTGCAGAACAAGAGAATCGCATAAAGGAGTTGCGGACAAAATAATTCTCTGACGAAATTCATGTCCCGGTTTATTTATCATTACTGCTGGAGTACCGTTATCAGGCTTGGGTGAATGGATGCCAAAGGAACAAACAGCAAGGATTAATATAGTAGCAAATGCGATGGAGGGGACCTCAGACATCATCTAATTACCTGCCTTGCCCGTGACAGAATCAGTTACTTTCCAGTAAGTGTGACTGAGTTGGCACTGCCACAAAAGAATACAAACATGCACGCACACTGATTGTATGAAAAAGTGGTACAGAAATCAAAAGACAGGTCACGCCTTTGGTATAGATAAGTTGGGAATCATTCTCAATATTGTCCTGCTACAGTGATGCTGCTAGGTAGTTCAGAGTGGTGAAGCCTTACTATAAGCTGTCATATGATTTTGGGGTAATGTCATAGTACAGTATAGCCTAGATTATTTGGCTAATGGAACACCTTGCCAGAACACTTCTTCCTATCTTTAGGAACTGCTTCTTGCATATGAATTTGTGAAAAATGGAGAGATGGCAAACAAAACCTAATTAAAACAGAGAGACACATTTCACTGTGATCAGCAGTGAAAATATTTATTGCAACAGAACAGGAATATAACGCCACTTTTTAGGGAGGAGATTCAGCCCTTTGAAATATTTTCTTCTTCTTCATGACTAATAACGGTACAGCTGTTAAAACCTTCATTTTCCTTTCCAGAATGAGTCTTCACAGCTTTATCAAGCCTGTTTGCTTCTGGCAGTGTTCTCTTGTACCAAAGTGGCTGATGTACAGTCACTTTCATTAGTTGATTCTCAGTGTATTAGAAGTGTTCTGTTGTTTCAGACCTGATCTCTAGAAGGAAGAGCTAAAATAATAATAATTTTAAAAAAGACAGATAAAGACCTTTTGCTGAAACCACAGCTAAATAAATTCAGTTTGCAAAACCTAAATTCTATGAGTATTGGGAAATGGCTATGAGTAGCCATTTTGAGAGTATCTCTGTAATCAGTCTGACCATTTAATGGAGAAATGGAGTGCAAAATGCATTTTTTAATTGGGTATATTTGTTTTCTTCCAGACATCTTAGAAGAAAGGCAGGTTTTTATTTACAAGATGGCAATATAGAGTAAACACAATCCATCTCTATGCTCCTTCCAGGAGGAAGTATTTGGTTTTAAGTCCTTTTTCAAGTGGACATATGCTCAGCCACAAAAACTTTTGGTTTTTACAGGTCACTCCCCAACCAAGACTAGGAGACCCTACAGTCGCTGTCAAATGTCAAACGTTTCAGAATGGTATTAATAAAAACCCCTGTGATTAGATAGTCAGCTTTAGCTGGTAGGGACTTTACTAGCTGGTTGGGCTGAAATTTAGTTTCATGCTTTGAAGATAAGGGGGTGCTGATGGGGCCTGTGGATATAGTCATATGGGCACAACAGGAACTGTTCATTCATTATTAGCCAAAAAAGATGCAAAATGAATAGCTAGAATTTATCACTAAACCAATTATCAGCTGTTTGTATTAATTTTTGCCAGCTTTTTGATCTTTGTTCATACCATTTCTTTAATCTTTTTGGCTCATGGGTGATGTTGAACATACCCAAATTTTTGTTTTTAGTTTTAATCCATTCCTATTTTTAATTTTTTTTAATAGTTCCTTTTTTATTTGTTTTGTTTGTTTTTTTAAGATGTTGGTATTTCCTAATGTGTTGCTTTGTCCTTTCAATGTGTTCTATGTAGCTTATCTGTAGCTTTCTCTCAGTAACATCTAGTAACTGTTGTTTCTATTCCTGTCTGCACGAAATGATTCATTCCTGTTCTGATACCCTGCACAAGATCCAGGTACCACAGGAAGATTTCCAAATAGGGCTTAAGTGTGGCTTAAGTGTTGCATAAGCCTTGGTATTTGAGTTAGTCTGCTAAAGGTACACCTTTCCTTCGACATGATTCACTGTAGCTGGATAATTTAGCTCACAATCTTTGTACCACTGAGGTACGAAATGGCAGTCTAAAATTCCCTTTTTCCAATCTGTATTTCCCTCCTATTAAATCACGCTGTGTATTTGTTTACCAAGAAGGAAAAATTTCAGTAAAGCCTTGTTGGGCTGATAACCGAATGCTGCTAATCATCTGGTACACCTGCTTTGCAATTGCTGTATTTATAGGAGGGGTGGTGCAACTCAGAAAAGCCGTCTGGGAAGATTGCATTCCTTGGCATCGCTTGCTCTGAGGCTTTGAAGAGAACTGGGTTGTTACACACATCTTGCAGGCAGTGACTGTAACAGCTTTTGCTCTGTCTAGGTGGAGAGCTGGAACTGTGGTGGTGCTTCTGATGTGCCACCTCTGGAGCCCCGTACAGTCAGTGGGTATGCTGAGTCGAGTGGTGGCAGTTTTACTTGTTCCCAGTCCAGTCTGACACTCACACCATATCCCATGCACACATGTGCACACAGTAGGATTAACAACTACCTTTCTGTTGAGAATGTGGAATGGATTTCCTTTGGCTTCCTCTCAGCGATGAACAAGAAATGTTATTTTCTTTTCAATACAGTAAAAGAGTTACTGTGTAACAGAAGAGACTTACTAGCATGTTCAGAACCACATAGATTCGCTGGTTCACACTTTTTGGGCAAGCACATGCATATTGTACCTATGTACAGTTATCATTGAAATGGGCTCTGAGTGTGTTATTGTGAAGCCAGGTAGATCATAATTGGATTTATTAGGTTTAGTTACATTTTAGTTGATAACAAAGCAAAATAAAACTTTTGTCTTCCTTCTTTTAATTAAACTGCTTACAAATTATAAACCATAAGAAAGTGAGAAATGTCTGCTAAAAATACAACTGTAATGCATTGAGAATTGATTTCAATTCCCAAAGGAATTGAACCATTAATTATGGAATTAAAATGGAATTAACCATTCCTACTAATGTGGTTATTCTCAACATTTTTTAAAAAGCATGTCCTATGAGTGTATACCTGCTACTAAAAATGTTTTTTCTTATGTTTAAATGGAATTTTCTGCATTTCAGGTTTCAGTTTGTGTCCATTACCTCTTAGCCTGTCACTGGATGCCAAAAGACTGCTGCTCTTCTTTACTGCCCCCTTCCCCCCCGATAAGATTCCCCCCTGAGCCTTCCCAAATGAAATTCATTACAAAAAGCTCTTTACTACCTTGAGGCCTCTCCTGTTCTCATACCAAGAAGCAATAGAAGAATGGTTTCATTGCCTCTGTCTCACTCATTTTTCTTTCCAGTCTTTTGATTGTCCTGAAGAATGTTGAATGTTCAGAATCCAATCGCATAAAGACTTTACATACTGGTTCAATATAAAGTGTATCAGTGATTCCAGTGATGTTAGTGAAATTATTTGAGCTACAATGTTTTGTTGGGTCAGAGATATGGTTGGGTATGGTTGGGTTTCGTGCATCCAGTTGATGTAACACGTCGGTTATTCTGAGTCTACAGCGCTCGTATCATAGCCCTGCCCAGAGGCGTTCATGAGCATGGACAATTTGTGAGAAACGTTCTGCTGGAGAGGTATGGGGACCTTACTCATTCCAGCCATGGACCACTATAGCAAATAACAGAGTAGGCAGAAAGTTAATGATGTATTTATTATTTGCTTTGTTGGCTGCTGAAATGCATAGGTTTGTGCTTAGAGTTTGTGCCAGCTGTATTTCAAATATTGATAAACTTGAGTTTGGAACAGGCTTAGATATTGTTTTCAATTGGTATTGAGGGAGAGAACCATGATTATTCCCAGTAAAGTGCCCTGAAAGCTTCAGTTGGTAAATGGTTTTTCTGAGCCTCACATACTGATCGTTGGCTTTCTTTTTAAAGTTCAAGCTAGCTTAAATTTCTTGAAAGGCTGAGACTTTCTGAAATAATTTTGCACACTTGATGTTTAAAATCAAACCAGCATCAAACAAAAAGAAACCAATGCCAAATCAAAATACAAATGCAAGCGATTTGCTCAGGTATTGCATAGTCTTTGATCAGACTGCTAAGCGGCCAGATTTCATCAGCTTACATGTTGTCACAGAGCTTACTGATACTTCTTATGTCATTTGCCTTTATTGGGAGTTCACAGTACTGTTGGTCCTTAGCAGAGCTCTCATTCTCAATTATGTGAAGAACAGGTGCAATTTATTGTTTGAATAAATCTGGTATCTTCCAAAGACCATTTTGGTTTTACAGCCCAGACATTCACTAATATACATAACTGTGAAGGGTGATCACCTGGAGAGGAGGTAGAACATTATTTCAATGTGTTTTTGCCAAGCATGCTTTGGTGTACGTGTGAAGAGTGATTTGTCAAAGTTGTAATACCTATCTTCACGCATTTGAGGAGATGAGGGCTGGTTAGGTGGACTTCCATAGCTGGCTGCTTCCCAGCCAGACCTGAAATGTGGTGGTTCTTCTCTACTTTCAGGTCTCAAACAGTGCTGTAGGAAACAGAAGCCCAAAAAGTATAAAAGTGTGGCTGCTTGTCAGATTGTGGCAAGCTGAATGAATCTCATTGAAAGCAGATCACTGCAGCTGTTAACAGAAAACACCATGATAGAATAGAACAGCTCCACCTAATTGACACTCAAGGGTTATAACACAGATGGTGTTGCTTGGTGAGCAACCAGTGTCCACTGGGGTCCACTCACTCTGTCTGAGGCTGTGGCATGATTTTTGGCAGTATGAGAAATTGCCACTCCTAGCTGCTTGCTGCTTCCCTCATGCTGCCTTTCTGCATTGGCCTGACAAAAGCACAGTGGAAAACTGATTCGGCTGAGAGATACTAATTTCTTACTGCTGGAGCATTTCCACAGTCCTGGTTTGGCATGTAGCAGCACAGGCACCTGGTCCACAGCAGAGAAGTCATAAACTGATGGTGGCATGGGTATTAGCATGAGGACAGATGCTTTGGCACTGCCACTCAGAGATTGCTCACTGACCAGTGCTTCTGGGGCAATATCTCAGCAGCTCAGAAGGTGCACAGAGGAGATGAAGAAGAAATAGTTGGGGAAGTGAAGAAGTTCTGAAGGGCTCTTTCCTCATGACCTGGAGTTAGAAATCAAGATTTCCTTGGCTAAATCTATGGCCGTTCTTCAGTGGTGGCATCATGCCTCACAACATGATTTTGTGTCTAAGAAAGCTGTTCTCATCTTTTTGCCTTTGTGCTTGCAGATGTTGAATACATTCTGCAGTTCTTTTGTTTGTTGCATGTAGTCAAATGAAGACTACAATTAAAGCTAAGATTAGGCCAGACTCAGGCAAACGGCTTATTATATTGGGCAGGAGGTCTACCTGAGTAAAATCAGGCCTGCAACTTGAAATTTTAGGATCAATGGAGACATTTCCCCTGTTTTATTTTGGCTGTAAGAGCAAAAAGCTGCTAACAATAGGATTTTATACAAATTTGTCTGACCAGTCTTAGGGTGGTACATTAGACATAGCTCTGCTGTTACAAGAGGTGCTGTGTGTGGGCAGGTCTCAGGTGCACAATGCAGTATGCTGTGAAGATCCCTGCATCAGTGCTGCACATTCCCTGTCTTCTAGGCCTCAGGAGCCTCCCCTGACTGCCATGGCCTCTCTGAGATAATCAAGAGTAACCCCAGAGTGGCACTGGAGATGGGCTTTCAAGTGAAGGAATTGACTGGGCTTCTCTTTATCCCCTCACCCCCCACCCCAGTGTAACCACTATCAACTCCTGTTACGCCAGGTTTCTGCTCTGCTGCTCCACCAGCCAAGAACTTTCCCCTCTCACTGACAACCGGCAGCACAGAGCAGGTTAGGAACAAACCTGAAAACAGGTCATGTCTGAGTTTATCACAATGACAACAAACAGTAAAGGCCAAGACATTCTGCACCTGCTTTCTCTGTGGAGAGACGCTAGAAAGTACCAAAAGCTGAACTTCTCCTTACCGCTCTGGTGCAGGCTGGAGAAATTTCTTAACACCTTTTCCTGTTGCGGGCTACAAATTGGTCAGCTCCCCATGGGATGAAAACCTCTGGGATTTGCCAGCATTTCACGGCTACCAGAAGCTCAGCCACTACCTTCGCCCAGACCACAAGAAGGATTGTTCTAAAATACAGGAAGAGTCTGGGAACTGATTCTTAGCAATACCTCAACTCTAGCCCACGATCTTAACGCGATGGTGCTTCAAGTGTCCCCGGAGGAAAAGGACACAGCCGCATGCTGGCCTTTTGCCTGGCCTCCAGGACAAGGTGAAGATTCACCTGTGAACAGAGCTGAAGTGAGCAGAGGAGAGCTTGTGCTCGGACTTAAGACCTTGCTTTTCCCTCACCCTTGGAGACGTCTGCATGACTGATTTTCACTCAGACCGAGGGCAGAGAGAGAAGTCCTGCCTGCCTGCCTAGGAAGAAAGCCTGAATAGGCCTTCAAAAATATGACTCTCCTCATCCGCACCAGCTAGGTCCAAAGAACTCAAATCCTGTGACAAAATGCAGCAGTGCTCCTCAAATGTCACGACAGTTCTAGCAGCCATCACCATTTAGCAGCAATCAACAGGTCCTCGTCTGTACCAGAGGCAAGCAGAGGGAATAAGAGGGTACAGCCATCTGAACAGGGGAGGGGAGAAGCAAAGCCAGCAGGGGGAACAGAAGAAAACAAAGACAGGTACTAAATTACACAGTTTATTAAATACCAAGTTGGAACAAAATACTTGGAATTAAATTCAGGGTGTTAGCAGCACAAAACTGTCGTCTTCCTGCCAACATGGTGGCCATGGCTGCTCTTCCTCACTGCCTGGCAACTCCAATCCCTGAATTAGTAGGTGGAAGGCAAACATTTCATCTCAGTATAACCACTCCTTGTTTTCTGGAATTGGGACTTCTCTGCTCCATCATCTTCTGATTGGTAATGACGTTGTCTCTTCAGCTGTGAAAATAGGGAAAGGCAGGTGACTCATTCTACAATAATACTTTCTAAAAACGAACATAGCTCTGAAACATGGCTGCTTTAGCAACAAATCTGAGTAATGAGCAGAGAAGTAGATAAAAGGTTACATGCTACTGACAGCCAGAGCCAACCTCAAAAGCACTTCTGGGAACTCCACTTCTGGGTCCCCATGACAAGGGAAAGATGGGCTGAGACAGCTACTGGTGAGCAAT